AAAGGAAATACAGGATGGTGGGGGAGGAACTGAAGGTTTTTTAATTAAAAAAAGAATAATGGGGGGGGGAAGGAGCAGGAAAATTAATAGTATACCACTAAATAGACACCACTCCCCACCACACCCACCCTGCCCAAATTCACATATTAAAAAGAACAAAAAAAACCCAGAAACACACATCCTAATTTCTCAACTAAAATTTGACATGACTAAAGAAAACTCTCCCTAGTGTCCCAGTAATGAAAATAATAAACAAAAAAGTTATTTAATGTGTGCTTTTTCAGCACATAGAGTGGCTGCAGCACACAGCAAGCTACCACCCACCCACCCGTACACAAGCGCTCTGAAATAAATGAGGGCAAAGGGAAAAATACACACATACACCAAGAGATCACCCACTCTGCCCAAACACAAGCCTCAAAAAAAAAACCCCAATAATCTTTCAACTAAAATGTGGCCTGACTAAAGAAAGCCCTCTCCCGTCTGCTATTAATGAAGGGCTTGAGGACCTCCACCATTCTCACCTCTGGCAGTCACCTGGTTAGTCTTTCACGCTATGATAAGTTGGGTCATTGTGCTTAATTTACATCAGGTAATTATGACTGCAACTGCACACAGTGACCTAAATTAGCATTTCCATTTTGAAGTTTAAAAGTCCTCCTTTTTGCTGATGCAGCAACGGCAACACCATTTACAAGCACTGTCTCTTCTGCCACTTTGAAGCCCAAAATATGTTTGAGAAGTGGGAGTTTGGAAGAAGTCTCATCTGCTTTTTCTTGATAGTGGGGGCTTATAGCAGCTATTGGAATAAGGATATGGGCAGATGTTTTTTATGCTCTTTATGTGGCATTGGACTACCCATTGTATTCGCGAAGGCTTTCACGGCCGGGATCTAATGGTTGTTGTGGGTTTTTCGGGCTTCTTGTCCGTGTTCTGAAAGTGGTTCTTCCTAACATTTCGCCAGTCTCTGTGGCTGGCATCTTCTGAAGATGCCAGCCACAGAGACTGGCGAAACCCACAACAACCACGGACTACCCATTGTTGGGGGGAAAGTACTATAACAGCAGAACAGTTCCATTTCTCAACCAGGAGGAATCAGGTGGAACCTTCTTGTACAGAAGCGTTATATTTCTGGTAAGGTTTTTAGGCTCCAAAAAAAGTCTGTTGCTGCCCATCAAGCAATGAAGGAGACAGAAATAAATTGGCTATCGGCTATCATTTAAATCAATTGTCCCCAAGCTTTTCCAAGCTGTGGACTGGTTGGGGGGGCAGGGTGTGTGTGCGGGGAGCACCCTCACGCTTGCGGGTGGGTGGGGAACACTCACGGGTGGGTGGAACATGTGGGACGTGTGGGAGACGGGAGATCTGTCTCTGTAGCCTGGTCGTGCCAGGGTTGGGGGGCCCTGGTTTAAATCATTTGCAAAGTCATCTGTTTTTATTTGAAATATACTACTGCTATGATAGCTATTATATTTTCTCTAAATGTTTGTAAAGTTTTAATTTCCAAGGTTTTAAAACTCTTAAATGCTCTGCTGGGAATCTGCCTATTTTCAAATGTTAATTTTTTGCATACATTTATATACAAATTTATGTAAATTGAAACAAATTAAACTACTGACCACAATGTAATAGGTGAATACCATTATCAGCTTCTAGCTCTATTTTATGCCTTTAGAAATGCATACTAAAAAAGGAAATAAACTGATTTAGCCGCTGCTGTACACACATACCTGGAAAAGACTATCACCAAATACAGTCGGTCTTCATGCACACACATAAAATTATATTATTAATTGCATACAGCAGTAGCAACAAAATGTATAGAACCAATAACCCAGTTAAAAATACAGGAATATCAAAGGAATAATGACATGCAATTTGAAACACTGCATACAGGAGCATCACCTCTTGAGGCACAACAGTGTGAAATAAGTTTCTTATTGAAAAACGTATGCCCTTCTGATCAGCTCATGTGTTATATGAAATATGTATATCATTTTCCCTTCAGATAATTCTTTCAGATCCATGCCTGAACAATCAGATGTCCAAATTAAGCTGTTTACTTCTCAATGACCAATTACAAAAGCAAACCCTGTGCTGCCATGCCGCAGCACGTCCACAAGTGCAAATGGACGGCGTGGGGTGAGTGTGCATCAGGGGGTGGGAGGTCTTGGCGGCCTGGTCTGGCCCACGCCATGGACCGGCACCGGACCATGGCCTGGGGGTTGGGGAACTTAAAGGAGCTGTGATACTATTGAAGTGGCAACTACAGTACAGTGGTGCCTCACACAACAATGTTAATTGGTTCCAAAAAAATCAACGTAGTGTGAAACATCGTTCTGTGAAACACCATTTCCCATAGGAATGCATTGAAAACCAGTTAATCCATTCCAATTGGAACACATTGCCGTCCTTGAGCGAAAATCCCCATAGGAAACATTGTTGAGTGAAACAATGTTTCCTCCATTCAAATGTATTGAAGCCGACTCAATGCATTTGAAAGGCATTCCGATGTCTCTTTTCCCTCATTTAAAAGTGCCTTAAACTGTTTGAAACCTGTTTTAAATGCTTGGCATCGATAGTCCAGCTTGTGAAACGTATGCAAACTTAATTTGGTGTTGTTCTGAGTTGTTGTTAATTTTTGGTGATTTTTTGTTTTTCCCTCATTGAACTCTATTGAACTGTCCGTCCAATACATTTCAATGAGAGAGAAAACAAAAAATCACCAAAAAGTAACGAAGACTCAGAACAACACCAAATTAAGTTTGCATAGGGTTCAGGAGGTGGGCTAACGATTGCAAGCATTTAAAACAGGCTTCAAACAGTTTAAGACACTTTTACAGGAGCGAAAAGGCACATCGGAAAGGGCTCTTTGATCTCCGTTTCCCTGCTTCTGAAGCTCTTTCCGATGTGCATTTTTGCTCCTGTAAAAGTGTCTTAAACTGTTTGAAGTCTGTTTTAAATGCTTGCAATCATTAGCCCACCTCCTGAACCCTAGGCAAACTTAATTTGGTGTTGTTCTGAGTCTTCGTTAATTTTTGGTGATTTTTTGTTTTCTCTCTCATTGAAATGTATTGTTGAAATAGAGTTCAATGAGGGAAAAACAAAAAATCACCAAAAATTAACAACGAATCAGAACAACACCAAATTAAGTTTGCATAGGTTTCAGGAGGTGGGCTAACGATTGCAAGCATTTAAAACAGGTTTCAAACAGTTTAAGGCACTTTTAAATGAGGGAAAAGAGACACTGTTGTGTGAAAATCCCCCATAGGAAACATCGTTGTGTGAGGCGGCAAATTTATCAGAAAAAGCCATCGTTGTGTGAATTCATCGTTGTGTGAGGCACCCGCTGTGCGAGGCACCACTGTACACTATATCTACTTTGTACTTGAATTTGGTTCTTGGGGCTTCTCAATAATGACATTTTCATATACAGTACTCATTTCTATCATAACAATTAATCCTACCGACAAATACAGATTTTGAAGTGGAACATTTCTTGCAATAATTGGCGCCGGACAGGTGGACTCTAATCATGTTCTTACAATTGATATTATGGATTGCAAACAGAGGCAGACTGTTTGCCTTGATTTTCAAGCTACCCAGTGAGGTTTGATTAAATGCTAATGTATGGGAACAACAGAGAAGAACAAAAAACATGGAAGCAAAAAAGAAATTAAGACAACAGAAGTTTAAAGTGAAGTAATGAAAGACTGTGAAAAAGTTATCAGTTCCCCCCTCCAAAAGCATATAACAAAGTTATCACTATGGAAGTAACTCAGTTATAAAGTATTGTTTTGTTTTTTGGGTGGTGGTAGCCAATTTTATCTGCGCTTCAGGTAAATTCTTACTGTTCATTTCTGTTGTAAGGATACATAAACTTATGACTGGCAGAGCACAACCTAGAGATCTCATTTATACTTTTAAATGTTCTGAGGCAGCGGGTAGAATCTCTGGGCTGCAGTCTAACCATCTTGCCTAGAAACAAGAATATAACCCCTGAGAGAGCTCAGCACAACAATGGTTTTTTAAAAAGCCATTTCAGTCTATCACAGGAATTCATACCACAAGGAGTTTTTCCACAGTTTTTTTTAGTGCACACTGAAGAACACATTCATTAAAAAATCCTTAAGAAATCCAGATACATATTTTCTTTTCTGCTATTCCTCCTATTTTCAAACAACAATTTTTATTTTGAGGAAGAATGGAAATAAAGTAAAAGGGATTCCCACTTAATTTTTTTCATTTAAGAATAAAAAAAGCAAAATTACATTTTTAAATTATTGTTTAAGATTCTTAAATTACCTCAATAAGACTATGATTGGGAAGCATATTTGAAAGCTAAAGGCCACCTCCTTCAGTTCACAGTAAAGCAGTCACCAGTGCCAGATAAGGAGAATCAACCACAGCAATCTTAGTCACTATACACGGCAGTCCATCTGTGAATCTCTGAAGGAACTCTTGTTTTCTTCACTTAATGAACAGAGAGACTGTATGCTTAAAACTTTATCAATGGGGAATAGAACTGGTGTATGTCAAACTCCCTGTGGACTCTGCTTGGAATGCTTCCAAACATTCTACAATTCTATTTCAGAGAGTAAACAATGATTTAAGCTTAAATCTACAGCATTATGATGCTTGAAATTTACAGTATGCAAAATGATTTTCTATAATGCTTTTATTTGAATGTAAAGGTACCCTGTTTCCCCAAAAATAAGACCTAACTTGAAAATAAGCCCTAGTATGATTTTTCAGGACACTCATAATATAAGCCTTCCCCAAAAATAAGCCCCAGTTGCCCTCCAGCATTGTGCAGCAACCAGAAGATGACATGGCTGTATTTGAATAAATGTATATTGTTGTAAATGGGAAAAAAATCTCCTAAAAATAAACCCTAGTGGTTCTTTTTGGAGCAAAAATTAATATAAGACCCTGTCTTATTTTTGGGGGAAAATGGTAATCAAATTTTGTAAAAGAGGGGGAGATGAGATAAAACTTACCTAAGTGGTACTTGGAGTAACAGCTTGATTCTTGTCCTGCATTGCACAACTGTCTCTTACTCCTTTTTCTTATATCCAGGTCAGTGAGCTTGCATTGTGTCCTTCTCCTTTTACTAATTTCTTTAGAAACTTCAACTGGGCCATCATCAAAAGTGGTGCGTTTACTCGATTTCTTGCTGTCTTGCTCAAAATGCAACCCTTTAACCAAGGGGGGATATCTAGTTCCTGTAGGTACATCTACACCTTTCTCACAACTGTCAGAATGGGATCTCAGAGTACAAAGCCGGTTTCCTTCAAAATAGTTGTGTCTGGTACTATGCTCAACAGATTCTGGAGTACAAACAGAGTTTTTGTTAAATGAACATTCAGTGTATGGTTTTTGTTGCTCTTCAACAGCACTGATTTTCTTCAAAAATATTCTACAATCCTTAAAATGTGTGTTCTTCCATGAACCTTCACCAAGAGTCTGCACTATTCCAGTATTTTGATGGCTGCAGTATGTGGATTGTGTGCTTGATTTATAATTATTGATTAGTCCAGACCTTGTACCAATGTCAGATAATTGTGGGTTTTGTTGGAAAAATGAACCTCTCATTTCCTTCCCAGTTGACGAAGTGAATGCATGAGATTCTATCAAAACAGAGGGTGATTTATTTTCTACCGTGCCATTCTTCTGCCTCATGCATATTCTGGTGCTCATTTCTCTACTAGTGTTAGCAAAACTTTGGCTTTGGCAGAAAAACTTCAGGTTTCTCTTTTTAGATTTCCAGTCATTTGTTCCATGATTATATAGTTTTTTCATTTGTCGCCACCGATCATGCTGTACATTCTCAAATTTGGCTCTTCTTAATTTAGCTAATGCAAATTTATGTTTTCTGTTTAAGACTTGAGACCTGATTATTTTATGTAGCATTTGTAACTCTCCTGCAGATTTTGAAGGTGTGGATAGTGCAAATTTTTTAAAGTGCTTTCTCAAAGGACTAATATTACATTCATACTGTCTTGTTCCTATTTTAAGCTGCCTTGTATTAATTACTTCAATAGGATTGCGAGCATTTGCTTTTCTCACTAATGACAATGACTGTGTTTCTGTGGTTTGCATAAACCATGTACACAGTTCACCTATACTGCATTTTTTCTGGAAAAGTCTTTTTATAGGTGAATTTTCAAACTGTAAAAAGCATGAGTCCAAAGGGTTTGATACTTTAATGCTACACTCTTCATCATATAGACATTTTTCAAATTCTTCTCCATTCACATTCAGCCAAGTATTTGTTATCTGTTCATATCTACTGTTCAGCTCTTTTAACAAGGAATCACTAGAAACTGAAGAATCCCACCACCTAAGGGAAGAATTGGATGAAATAATGGGATCCAATGACATTTCATTAATTGACCTGAATTTATTGTCAGAATTTTGTTTTGCATTTTCTGGATTCTTATCTACTGAGGTATGTGTGGGTATTACACTTGAGCAATGTTTTATATTTTGATCTTCAGTTTTTTTCAAACAGAACTGATATGATTTGTGTAGAAAGGTACGTTTACAAGGCAGTGAACTAGAAGATACTAATGAATGCAAGAAAGGCAGTGATGGTCTTTGATCTCTAGGAGATTGCCTCAAGGGTATTTCAGGGTTCTTGGAGGCAAAAATCATGTTGCATGAAAATTTCTCACTTGTACCATCCCAAATGCTTTTAGAAACACACTTCTCATTGCACTGTTTATCTTCCTTCTTTGAGGATACATTTTTTTCTAGTATAAATTCTTGTTCCAAAGGAGGCAGGCAGCTGTTAACAATCACTTTTCTTTCCTGAGATGAAATCCAATTAACAGTCACTGATATGCCAGATATTTTTACTTTTGCTGGTCGGCCTGGTTTTCTAATAATATTTAAAGGCTTCTGGTTTGGTTTCATAACATTACTGCAATGTAATGGTAATAATAGGCTGTTCTCTAGAGGCCTAACATTCTCATAACTTGATCCAGAAATCTTTTCTGTTGGATAAATTTGCATATTTTTATTTTGCTTTACACTGTGATTGGTTTCTGAGTTCCGGTTACTTGTAGCAGATTCACAAACCACATCAAAATCATTGTGAGGACTTGGTACCACACTGACTACATTTACACTACCTTCAGAAACACACCTCTTAGCCCTTCGTGATCTTCCAAAGACAACTGTTACAGTAATATTTTTATTAATGCTATCCTCCTCTGGAACTTCTGCATTAGAACTAGAAAAAGTGTCAGTTCTAGTGGAATCATTCATATATCTGGCATTTTCAACAGCATTCACCTTAGGCTTTGGAGGTCGGCCAATTGGCCGCTTAACCTGCCTCACAACTTGAGGACCCAGTTTTTTTGGTCGTCCAGGTTTTCTTTTCAAGGAGAATCCATTGCTGTTTTGTTCTATAGCTCTGTCATTTTGTTTATGGTCATCCGTGTTTTTTTTATTATCTATTACTGTAGTAAAAACAGAACTCACTTCATTTTCACAACTATTTTCACTACAGCTGCATCCTTCAACGGAAACATTTTCAGTAGGCTCCCTTGTTTCTGGCTGTTTTTCTAATAGCATGTTTCTTTTCTCATGAAGAGAATAAAGATCAATGTTTAATTTAGAGGAATTTTTTACAGAGGTTAGTGTGTATTTGATTCCATCACTGCTGCTAATTTCAGAAAGAAACATAAGTTTTATAGGACTAGTATAATTTATCACTGGTGAATTAACCTCAGCAACACAATTTGTTTCCTCCTTATTGGAAGTCATTATGTCTGAATCAAAGGTAGTAGAGTTGAAGAAGCTGTTATATCCATCATCAGATTTTTCTTTTTCTGACACACATTCCTTTTTGCTATGCTTGCTACATGGCACATGAGCTTGTGATAGTATATATTGTCCTTTGTTCCCACTTTCACTCATGCTAATATGAAGATCACTTCTAGAATTATTATTGGCATCACACGTGTGAATGTCTTTTAGTTTGTGGGGTAATTTATAACCACTGAACAATGGTTTTTTCGCCTTTTGGGCCACATTTAATGCATCTTCCAAACGCTCTACAACAACATGTAAATTTGTGTTTCGTACAATCTTATTTATATCTTCATTGCTACATGTTTTAGGCTGAAACTCTTTAAGTGATCTATCTTTTTCTATACAATTAGGAAGGCTTTTTGCCTTTTGGGATTTCTGAAATAAAAAGTTGTTTGTTACATACACAGAACACCACACAGGAGGGATAACAGTATGTTTTGTCCTGTCCAGAAACCTGTTATCATCTCCCTCCACAGGGACTGGATCAATACATAGTTCACAGTTGCCATGTGTTTTTGCCAAACTGTCTTGGGATGCTATGGAGTCATTTTCTGAAAATGCCACAAAATCAAAATTACTTTCTGAATTATTCAGAGGTAGTTTGAGCAACTCTTCCTGACATATTGGCAAAGACCTTGATTTAATGGCAGGGAATAGACTCCCTTCATTTTCATTGATTTGTAAAGCACAACTTTTTAATGTACAATGCTTGTCAGTTTTGTTTGGTGATAGTTTGTCATCTTTTCCAGTTTTTTTTGCATTTCTCTCCAAAGATGTTTTCCTCCTTATAAAAGTTTCATCCAGACTGGCTAATTCCCTCTTGATTTGCAAAGCCTGTCGCCTAAAAAGAGATGCATCAGGGGAACTATGCATTGCAAACAATGTTTCTTGACGCTTTCGAAACCTTGTTTGGAAAATTTTATTTTCTACTTCTTTGTCATGTTGGGTCAATAACTCCATTAAACTGTAATCGCTGGCCTTAGCATCGTGTAAGAGAGTTGTTATGAGGCTCTGTAATTTATTATCAGTCTCTATTCTGCCATCACTCTTGGATATTTTAGAAACATTTGTTGTATCAGTAGTTTCTATTGATTTTAATTTCTCATTGATTCGATCCATTAGGTCCTGAAATGGGGTATTTTCAACTTTTCCAGGCTTATCAGACTTTATAGGGTTGGTTTCTTGACTCAGAAACATCTGATCCAAGTTACTAGCCAGTTCTGCAATACATACACTGTCTTTTTGTTCACAAACAGAACTTCTTTCAGCTGGCAAAAGGGATGGAGGCTGGTTACTATTTAGTTCAAGTCTATTACCTAAAGCAAAACAACCTTGAATCGATTCCTCCAAAGTATTGTATTCATCAGCTTCCACAGGTGATAATGGTGGTGGTGAAGGGCTGCGGCCTCTACTAGATTTGTTAGTCTTTTGCCACACCGAAAAGAGATTTGTACAAAGTGCTGCTTTTTCAGACTGACTCTTACACTGTTGTAAAGATCTGGAACAGCATCTATGTGAACTACAAGGCACTAGATTCCCTTTGTTCAGCACTGTGTCAAAATATCCAACAGCTACAGATGGGCATGACAAATAATTCATATCTTTCACATAGGCAGACAAAGGTGATGAACAATTATTTGAGACGGGGTTTTGTAAACAGCACCTTTTCACTAGCATGTTGCTATCACGACCGCAGACTGGAATGCACCCATCATCTTCTGATGTTTCAGAATACATATCTGGCAGCTGGCAACTGCAACCTGAATGGTTACATGTGTCTTGGATTAAAAATTTCAACATAGTTAAAATCTGATGACAATGATATGAGCACAACGATGCCAAAACCTTGCTTAGAGCAGAGTTTCCTTTTTCCAATTTAGTTGTTTCCTCTGATTTTGCCCCAGCTGCTGTGCTTGAACTGAAAACAAAAAGCAGACCAAAACAAAAAGTAAATTCCAGTTAAATAAGGCACAATGTGACTGAAGTGCAATCATGATAAGGTACCAAAACTGTCCTTTTCTAAAAGAACATTAAAGAAATGTTGTATTGCCACTGAATCTTTGTATTCAAATTATATAGAGAACAGGAAGAAAGGCAGGATTCTGCTAATGTTGTATGATATATATTATGTGAAACATAACAGGTTTTGTTAAGCAAGTCAGTTTCTTTGATATATATGTTTAATATATATGTTTAACTGCATCCTCCATTCAATTATGGAATAATAACTAGAGTCTCAATAAACCTTATGCTATTCTAGAGAGATATTTTAAGTAAGAGATACACTGACTAAAACCCTGGTACTTAGCATATTGTCACAACTAGAGTAGGCCAATTGAATCAGTGGGGATGGTGATTCAACAGACCTACTCTAGTTGCAATTTACTTGCTAAGCAATAGGATTTCAGACACTATGGGTGTGATACTAAAAATATTCAACCTTATATAAATTATATTGAAGCTGGCTGGATTTCTCAGTGGTTTAAGCACCTGGCTGCAGAGCCTCATGGGAGGATAGCCAACCTGGGTGGCCTTGGGCAAGCCACACAAGTCCTTCGTGCCCCCCCCCAAGGAATGGTAAATCACTTATGAGTATTCTGTAATTAGAAAACCCTGGAAAGGGTCTGAATCAATATGACAGTGCTGAATTATTATTATTAAATTATATGGAACTCAGTAAGACTGCAGGCTGCTTTGCATGTGGCAAATTTCCTACATACATGTAAAGCAGATCTGGTGCTAGATATGCATAACACAGAAAAAAAAATCACAGTTCACTGATGACTTCCCACTATGTGTACGCAGCAAAATATACAAAAGAAAGCTGGAAGGGACAACTGGCAGATCCAAGTAGGAAATCCACAGCAAAAGCATCCAATACACAACTATCCAACCTTTGCTTAAAAATCTCCAATGAAGGATTGTCCACCACTTTCCAAAATACAGTCCATTATATATTTGCATTTATACGGTGCGTTTATAAAAAATACTGTTTTGGACTGTAACTTCTAATGGACCATACAGGGCATTCTGGAACTGTAGTTCAAAACTGTCCATTCCGCAATTTCTGCTTATGAGACATGACTATATACAAACAAGGCACACTTAGCATCCTGCATATGTGTCCCATTTGTGCAGGAAACTGATCATTTATGTAACAGCTGTTACTCTAAAAGAAGTGTGTTTAGGATTAGGAAGCGAAACTCCAATACTGAATTTCATTTTGAAATCTCAATGAAAAAGCTGCAGGAGAATCAAAAATGAGATCTTTCTATAGTTTTATACCTCAGCCCGTTATGTAAATAATCACAGAAAATATGTGCTTAACTCCCTTTTATTTCTCATTGATTCGATCTTTTAAGATTAGCATTACTTAAAGGCTCTCAATTTTGAATCTAATGTGCTCAACCAGTTTCTAAACATGCTTGTAATGTAGTCCAATGTGCTCTTAAAAGTTTGTTTCAAAGGATGCTGTGTATTACTAAAATTATTTTAGATTAGTTGCACTGTGGGTATCACTTTTAAAGATCCAAAAATTATGTATCCTCTGCATTTTAATTCTTTCTTTATTCAAAGTTACAAACAGACTCACAGACACAGACCACTCTATATGCCTTCCTATTCGGCTGCAGTGTTGTTGTTCATTAAACAAACAGGAAAAGCCATTTTCAACAAGTTACAAAATGGACAGAACTAATGGTATGCTGTTCAATGTCTTCTTATCATCATTGTGCTACTGAGTTAATGAAATAAAGATAGCACTCATTATGAGTGCTATCACAAGAAAGTTAAGCCAGCATATTGGGAAACCAGTCATTGTTAAATTAATTGGATTAAATCAATAAGGATTTATATCTTATTTAAGGCCGCAGCTGGAATAAACCAACAAACTATTCTTATTTACTACATTTTAAAACTGTTGTTACTTACCTAATCTGTAATTCAAACTGAAAAGTTAACAGCCCATAGCAGAAAGTAGGTTTAGAATAAAACTGGTGAAATATGACCTCCATCATTAAATGGCTATCAATTTTCTTTCAGAGTACCAATTCAATGAAAGTAAATTATATTAATATAATTCTGTTTCAGAAAAGTATGTATTTTCAAACATATCACCAAACTCTGAACATGAAACTAATTATTCATATAACTAGTTTTTCTGTACTTAGTATTTACAGCTCTGATTTTGTGGAATGCAGAAAAAATCTTATGTATATATTCTCAAAGGCTTTCACAGCTGGGATCTGATGGTTGTTGCCGGTTTTTTTGGGCTCTTTGGCCTTGTTCTGAAGGTTGTTCTTCCTGACGTTTCGCCAGTCTCTGTGGCTGGCATCTTTGGAGGGTCCTACTCCAGTCCTCTGAAGATGCCGGCCACAGAGACTGGCGAAACGTCAGGAAGAACAACCTTCAAAACACGGCCAAAGAGCCCGAAAAACCCACAACAACCAACTTATGTATATACTTTATCATGTCATATATAACATTAATTCATTTTTATTTGTAAATTGCAAGGTATAATCCTGAAACAATATAAAGAATATCTAATCTTCCTCCATCTTGTGCACTTTGTGAGTTTACTACATCCAAAGAAATATGCTCAAAAATGTGAAAAAACACCAGTGTTCCTGGATTACTGAAGAGATTACTGAAGGGGAGATTATTGTGCTGGCTTGGGTTTCTCTAAAGACTACCAAAATCTCACTGATTTGTGGTAGAACACATGCCTGGGAGTGAACAAGGCTCAATGGCCAGTACTGCTTGCTGATATATCTTACACACCAGAGCTGGGAAACATCTAAATCTATGACTTGGGAGAACCTGTTAGCCTAGGCAACAGTAATTTGGATGGGCCAGTTCTCTCAGCCCTTAAATGGCTATTTGAAAGTATATAGAAAACACATAAAATAAGAAGTGTAGCATGTAGGCATACATCATTTGTTTTTCTTGGATTCCCAAATCGCAGTTCTCCATTCTGGTAGTTTCATCTGCAGACCCACAACTAAACTGTGCTCATCTGTTGGAAATCTTCATAGCCTATGGCAGGCACCTTTCTAAAACTTCCAGCAAACTCAAGGGCAAATTCCTTTTCTAATAGCAAATCAGACCAGAACTTGGGTAAGACTTCTTCCCCAGCCTTTCTCCAGGTGAGTAAAACTGATGTGTGGTTCAGGTGTTCCCTTCTAACAGTAATTTAAGGAAATTTGTGAAATAAGTGTTCCTAGCCCTTGCTGCTTTTCTCTCACAGTCACCTAACACTGTTCAATCCATTTTTCTTCCTGCCACGTTCCCAAACGAATGGTGTGGTGGTAGAAGAAAAACCAACTTGGGGGGGGGTTGTTAACAGAAACTGCTTGAAGCAGGAAAGGATTAGATTATGCCACTACTCCGATCCTCTCATATAGATGCCACCTTTGCTTGCACACTTCACTATCCTGGTTTAAGAGTTTAGAAACATGTTTGCCAAAAGGAATTATTTTTACACTTTGATACCCCATTTATACATTGCCTAGTTTATTTACTATTTATTTATTCTATTTTTATATCTCCCATCTGAGCAGTGGTCATTCAGGGTGGTTCACAACACAATAAAACATAAACAAAGTATAACAAAGTGCTCAAAATTAAGCTAACTTACATTTAATAACAAAGATATGAACAATTAAAAATTGAAAATAGTTTAAATGAAAACTGAAAAAGTCAACCCATATTCCCTATGGCCAGTTTACTACAGATGAAAGGCCTTCTTCCAAACCTACTATGTTTTAGAACATGTTCTATAAATCTGCACAGTGAAATCACAATATATTAGCTCAGTGTACTTTTATTTGTATTACTTTTCAGAACTCTGTTTCAAAATATTCCTTAAACATTAACTGTGGAAGCATATAATGTATAATGACAGCTTTCATGTTTAATTAGAGTACCAAGGTAGTGGATTATATTTTTATAAGTGTATTTAAATGTTAGACTCCTACCAGTGACAGATAACATAGGACATTAAGAATTGGGGAAAATATATACAGTAAATCACAAAATAGAATGAATACTTTGGCATTTACACTGAATTTTTCAAACCACCTCTCTATAAAGAAAATTAATCATATTGGCCAATCTCCTCATTAGTTATTTATGCCAACACAGGAGTTATGATATAAATCAAGTGTTTACAAAGAATACAGGTGACAACTTGTAAAGTAGTGGCAATTTATCAATGCACTTAGAGTGATGTAAAGAACCAATAGGATTATGTCCATTTCACATATGATGATCATACACAAAATTGGGTTACTTTTGTTTTATCATAAACATTTCCCTTTGGGAACTAAACCCTATTTCAATGGAACAGCAAAATATATTACTTATTGTGTTGTTACCATCCCTATAGCCTAGCAAGCCATGAACGCAATCCATCAGGAAGTTCTCGTTATCTTTATTGTTCAATGTGTAAAAATGTTATTAGTATGTTCACTATTACCATATTATATATCAATGAAGTTATGCCCATGGAGTAAATCAGATGGACCAAGATATTTTTCTTTTTACTGAATAAGCAAATTAACCACACACATCAGTGTTGCAAATTTATGTGCAAAAGCATTGAAGTGCTTTACTAAAAATTACAACATAGAAACACATTAACAAATTCATACAATCAGATTTAGAAATATAACAACACAAAGCGGAAACAGGATTACAGTACATTTACAACACAAGACAAAATACATGGAATTCATTAGAAAATATTGTAATAAATAATTCATGAATTATAGTGCAATTGATTTATGCATAAATAGAACTAATTGCCTAGAAATCTGTTATTAACAAAATCTGTCAAAAATCAAGGCAGCCACAGTTTTACTAAATTACTGCAACGATGAAAATACTGCAATAAAAAAAAACACAAATACAGGTATTTGT